CCAAAGTTTGCAAATGAAAATGACCTCAACCTACTTTAGAGGTCACAGAGGTCAACAACATTTTAATGGATTTGTTCTTGAGAACTAAAAGGAATGGATTCATAAGATTTGGCTGGTAGCTTTTTGGAATAGAGCTAACCAATTTGAGAAGGAAAATGACATTGACCTACTTACAAGATCACAGGGAAAAATATGTCAAGCAACTTCTGAAGAAGAATCAAAAAGCATAGAATCTTATAATAACATTTTGCTGGTAGTTTCAACAGATGGAGCCAACAAAGTTTGCGAGGGAAATATTTATAGTGCAATATAATATTTAATGAGAATATTTTGCTATGACTGCTTAAATATTCAGGTGAGCGATACAGGCCCTCTTGGGCCTCTTGTATTTTGATAACCAACATAAATTCCTAGGTTTTGTATTTGAATTTCAATTAAAATGTGTTCAAAATTTTCAGACAGTTACTGTATATCGATATGAGTTTAGTTTACACAAAAACTTGCTGGTGACATATCAGGTGCCAAACTGTCACTCCCCTTTTTTCTTCAGAGAAAGCCTTGGACAGGGATAACTTCATGACCCCTCTTGAAGCCAAAGAATTCGGATTGATTGATCAAATTTTATGAAAATGACTTATTTGTTAATATGTTCATATGTTAATTTCATTTCATAATTTAATGTATTGAAATAAAACTTCTTGATGGAATGTGTTTACTTCTTTATTTATTCACATAATAACCAGTAAGACAAAACGTATAATGGTAAGAGACACATAACTTGTAAAACAATACATGTATAACGAGACAGGTGTTGGTCCAAACATCATCGCCGACAAGACAAAATTGATACAGGTGATAATCTAGATTATAACCAATAAGAATTAAATGATAATGAAGCAGATGTTAGTCCACATACCTTCCAGTAAAACAAAACTGATATAAACAGGTGTTAATCCACCCATAACCAATAAGGAAAACAGCTTGAACGCAAAAAGTCGACAGAACCTGACATTTCTACACAGTTCTTGGAAAATAAACCGCAGTTGGAATATCTATGCCCAAAATCAAATTCTTGAAATAGAAATCAAATGGAAATCCGCTCTGGTGTCCCCTGTTTTCTAATCGGGCGACCCCGGTGTAGTATGGTAATATGAAGCCAATGGTGAAATGAACCTAACCGCCCCATGATGAAATGAAGGCTACCAACATTTCTTTTCCGACCAACTTTTTTGTATTCATTTTCTTTAAGTTAACATCAATTTGATATTATGTATATGAAAATCACAAAAATTAAATCTGGGGTAGAGAAATTCAGGGAGGGGGGGGGGAGGGGGGGATTTACTTCGTGTCAAATGAAGACTAGGGGAAGTGATAACAGACAGAACAACATCATTTGTCCAACTCTTAAAAGTCCGAGAAAAGGCCATGTCTTCAATTGCTGATGCTCAGAAGAAGCAGAAGGTATATTATGACAAAAATCAGAAGAAAGTGCCACTTCAACCAGGTGATCAAATCCTCATAAAGAATCCTAAGAAGCACAGCAGAAAAGGAGCCAAGATGGCAAAGAGGTTTACTGGACCATACAAAGTGATTGGCGTGAAAGGAAAAGGAGTGTACAAGCTTGAAGGTAGGTAGGCTTTACAGAACATACACAATTTGCGCAAGTATATCACACCTCAGAAGTCTCCCAAAATAACCATTAATACATCAACCAAGGTTCCTGCCAGTGGAAAAAGTTCAATAGCACTGATCAACGCCACGACCTCCAGAAAGATCACTGCCTACAAAAATCATCATGCTGCCTTCTTTCAAGACCCCTGTCAGCGGATTTTCAGCGCAGGAAATGGTCACTGCAAAACGATCCTTAAAAACCTCCGACAAGAGCCCTTCCAGTGAAAAGACAACAAAAACAGGAAAATTGAAGAAGACAAATCACCATCTGAATGCTCTCGGAAAGAAAGATTCCCGCAAAAAATCTCAAAAGTCTCTAGAAAGACCAAACCCAATATCAACAAGAAAACTTCAGTAAAAACCCTCCCCAGCAGAAAGGATTCACGTGGAAAGATGAAAAGACAGACACCCGTTTGATGAGTTTACTCATAATATGCCTCTTTCTCAGATCAACGATCTTATCAACAGATGTCCATCCTATCATCTGCCAAAACCAAACAAAGATTCTAGTATGGTTTTAGAATCGGGCCAGTCACCAACACTGTCTCGGTACTTAAAACATTAACACCAATCCCCAGAGAACTTAGATAGGTGTGTCCAGTTTCTAACACGACACTCACAACGGCCGTCGGCATTTGCTACTATCAGCTCGTGCTAGGATTAATGATTGCTTGACCCTAAATTTCTCAACCTCAGAATTATGTTTTTCTGATTTTCATATACAGGACATCAAATTGACGTGAACTTTCACAGAATTGGTTTCAAAAATTCAAAAAAAAGGAAACTGCTGAAACCCTTCAGTTCACTATTATGGTGAAGAGAAGCCCCCTGCCCCACTCTAAATTTCTCTACCAATGGCTTTATTTATGTGATTGACATATTCAGGACGTCAAACTGATGTAAAGAAAAACAAGATTTTGTAACAAAAATTCTTACAGAAAAAATCTCCTGAAACCCTTCATTTCACCATTATGTTGAATTGAAGTCCCTCTTCCCCAACCAAAATTTCTCAATCCTAGACTTAATTCTTTTCAGCTAGAATACATCAAATTTAAGTAAACTAAAAGAAAAATGAACGGAAAAATGTTTGTCAGAAAAGAAATTGATGGTAGCCTTCATTTCACCATGGGGCGGTTCATATCACCATGCTTACCACAATACCATGCTACACCGGGAAACCAGGCAATTATTTTCCTATCTCGCTGAATTCAATATGGTACAAGGTAACCACAAATTACTGCTGCAGTTGACATCAAGGGGAAGATATCAACATCAGTGCAGTTAGAATATGTCATGACAAATTCGAAGGCCCCCGGATCCCCCAACCTTGTGGATGATGAAACAAGAGTAGTTTTATCCTTTGATGTGAATCGAAATGATCCCGTGGTAGTGAAACGGTAAAATTAACCGGCTTTGAAGTTGATGATCGCTCCTCTGTAATCTTCAAAGCGAATGGTCAGGTTTTTTCACCCGAGACCATTCAAATAGCTAGCCGCGTGCTTTCGATTTCGCTATGACATGAACTTTAGTGTAAAGGTTAGAAAACATCTGTTATCCCCAAAAAGGCAGTCTTAGACCTCTCATGTCGTACAGAAATGACATGCATGGCTTCGATCAAACGGTGACACGTCTGTTTGTAGACGATTGTCTGATGTACAGGTCAATTTGCTTACCGTGAACAGCTGCTGACCGACATATATTGGCTTCAGGAGTGGCAGAACTGCTGGCAAATGGATTGTAGCCACGAAAAGTGCGAAGAACTTGGCATGATCCTTACAATATGCACAACCATTTGTCTAGGGAGAGCTGTCTGGTTTGGACTATAGATATCTAGGTAAGTAGTCATGGTGGACTGTCTGATGCTACATGATGTTGTCTGGTTTGGACTATAGATATCTAGGTAAGTAGTCATGGTGGACTGCCTGATGCTACATGATGTTGCCTGGTTTGGACTGTAGATATCTAGGGAAGTAGTCAAGGTGGACTTTCTGATGCTACATGATGCTGTCTGGTTTGGACTATAGATATCTAGCTAAGTAGTCATGGTGGACTGTCTGATGCTTCATGATGTTGTCTGGTTTGGACTGTAGATATCTAGGTAAGTAGTCAAGGTGGACTTTCTGATGCTACATGATGTTGTCTGGTTTGTCTTTACTTGTGTAGGTTGGTGTTCGTAGCTGTCTGTTTTTCATAATTCGGTTTGTGTTGGTTGGTAGTTGTTGAAAGCGGTCAGGTTTGTCGATGTGAAGGTTGCTTGATGTTGGTAGCTGGGACAGGTACGGTAAGTCTTTGTTTATGTGGTGAATGTAAGGAGCTGTCTTCTGTCGGGAGCTGTCCGTATTGACTTTGGTTATAACGGTAAGTAGTTGTAGGGATATATTTCGCTGTGTTTGCGAAGGTTGGTAGTTGTTGGCAGCATTATGGCTTAATTATGTTCAGGATGGTAGTCCTTGTGCGCTGTCTTGTCTGGTATCAGATCATTCACACTGCGATGTTTCACAGCTTTAATTCTCCGTCAAATACGGTACTACAGTCACATTAAATAGTATCACAGCCCTCTCATTGCAGTGTATCACAACGGCCCTCACATTGCAGTGTATCACAGCCATCACATCGAAGTGTATCACGGCACTAACAATGCAGTTTATTACCCCTTTGAGAAAAATCTAGGAATCTGATTGGTTAAAAACAACAGTGTACCAAACCGCATTCGTAAATCTCAGGGGGTATACGGTCATGTCACGTAATTCTCAGCAGTAATACGGTGGAATCACGTGATTTTACAACAGGTATACGGGTCACGTGTCTTTGTATCTTGCGGACGGGCAACGGGAGATAACTCGCATTCGTCGTCTGCTTCGCTGTTCACAAAATGGCAAAACGTTTCGCATACTAATGAGGAAATACTCGCCAAAAGGGCTAACTATGTGCCTCAAAACACACAAAAGTCGAACAGACGAGCGGCAAACATGCTGAGGACGTATTTAAAAGAAAAGAATCAGGAAGAACGGTTCGAGGAATTTGATAAAACGAAACTAAATGAGGTACTGTGCCATTCTTATCTTTACAACAGAAAAGTCGACGGGGAACTGTACAAAACCAATATAAAAGAATCAAAGGGGTAATAAATGCGTTACACGGATTTTTGGCAGGGTATACGGGATGGTATGACCCTACAGGATTTCGTATTCCCTTCGGCCTATCGGCCTCAGGAAATTCGAAACCCTATAGGGTCATACCATCCCGTATACCCTGCCAAAAATTCGTGTAACTAATATATATTTATGGTCTTCACATTGCAGTGTATCACAACGACCCCTTACATAACAGTGTATCACAGCCCTAACATTACAGTGTATCGCGGCCCTCATATTGCAGGGTATCGCTGCCCTCATATTGCAGGGTATCACGGTCCTCAAATTGCAGTGTATCACGGCACTCACATTACAGTGTATCAGGGTCTTCACATTGCAGTGTATGCCGGCCCTCGCATTGTAGTGTATCAAGGTCGTCACACCCCTTTTACTGCAGTGCACCGCTACCTGTTCTAACGTGCATTCCAACCTCATTGCAATACATCGCACCATTATCCTCACCTTGTACCACAATCTTTACACTGCAGTCCATCACGGCTCTCTTTCTATCACAGCCTGTACACTTCTCAACCTACATCTCCTAAGATTGCAGTGCATTACAGCTCTCGCTAATGGAAGCACATGCACCATTTTCGATATCTTAGAATGCAGAGACGATTTTTATGGTGAAAGTGGACCATTTGAAATACGAAGATGCCCTCACACGGCAGCGAAACTCGCGCACTGCATCACAGCTACCGCACAACCTTACATTAAAACATCCCATGTGACCTAAACATAAAATGCCATTATATTGGAATTACTTTCCTTTTGTTTTTTCAAAAACAAATTATTCTCTGTTTAAACTATTGATATACAGGAATCGGAAGCAAAAAACTGTCAGAATGTGACGTCGTTTGTCGACATGTGAACATTGGTCACGAGTGTGTACTATATCACGAGCTTGGATGAGTGTTAGGTACGTGGCAAGCCTTGCATAGGTCAAAGCATACAAATGTTTTATTGGTGAAATATACCATAAATTACCAAACAGTTAAAATATGATGAGAAGGGAAGTGAAGTTTTGAGCCTTTTATCTTAAATTACGATTTTTGCATATGGTGGTGTAGAACCTAGCGATTGTTTTTAAGCAGCTATATTGAGATAACTCTGCATGCAAAGAAGCATTACTGACTTGAATGACGTCATGAAATTGAAGGATTATTTAGAATGGTTCTTCAGGTGACGTATATAGCAACATCAACTTAAAGTGTTAAATCGTATTTATATTGTTAGGAACAACATTTTCTCAGTTTAATCTAATCTAGATTGCTCTAAGGCAGTTGGACCTGACCTTATAAATCCAAGACTCCTTAAGGAAGCAAAAATAATTTCGAGTTACTCTCTTCAAATAATCTTAAATCATTCTTAACCACTTCGTTTTTTCCTAGTGACTGGAAATTCGCCAACATTGCCCAAGTTGTCAAAAAAGATAACCTTTCTCTTCTCAACAACTATCGACCTTTATCATTGGTATCTATTGTTGGCAAGGTGAAGGAAAGATGTGTATATAAATATCTGTACAAATGCATTATTGAAAATTCTCAATTATCACCTTCTCAATCTGGATTAAGGGCTGCTGACTCTACAACTAATCAATTGCTCGCCATTACTACCGATATATATTCGGCGCTAGATAAAGGTAAGGAAATTCGGATGATCTTTCGTGATATCAGCAAGGCCTTTTACAGAGTCTGGCCTGCAGGACTACTTTTTAAATTACATAAATTAGGCATCGGGGGAATTTATCATCATGGTTTAAAAGTTATTTGAATAATAGGAACGAAAGAGTTGGTATAAACAGTAAGACCTCTGAGTCGATGGTAATTAGGACTGGTGTTCTCAAGAGATCAATATAGGATCCATCGCTCTTTTTGATTTTTGTAAAAATTACATAGTTGACGATATTAACGCTATAATAAAACTATTTGCTGACGATGCTTCCGTTTATGCTATAGTAGATACTACGTCTCAATGTGCAGATTTGTTAAATGGCAGTTTAAGGAAAATATATGCATGGTCTGAAATTTGGGTTGGTTGAATTTAACCCTGAAAATCATTTTTGATTATTAGGAAAATTAATAAGCCCCATCACCCCTTTTATTTATGAATGACGTTCCTGTTAATGAGGTTAAACAGCACAAACATATAGGATTTTTTTTCTCTCTCATAATGGTTCTTGGACAGAACACATTATTATTATAAAGAAAGCGTCTAATAAACTTTAATTTTAAAATAGACAGAAACTCTTTTCAAACCTTGTATTTTTCATTTGTCAGACCTATACGTGAATACAGTGATATCGTCTGGGATAACTTAACTATCCAACAGTTTCAATCTCTGGAGAATATTCAGCTCGAAGCTGCAAGCATTACAACAGGCGGTACTTAACTAAGTCACGATTTAAGACACTTCCTCTCTCTCTCTCTCTCTCTCTCTCTCTCTCTCTCTCTCTCTCTCTTTATAGTTTATGTTTGTCCTTTTATTATACATATTATTCTTACGATGTTGTTTAGCTTTGTAGTGTTTAAGGAGACAGATTCATATAAGTATGTACATACCTTTTTTCTGAATCCTGTACTTATTTTTGTATATTATGCATGACATGAAAAACATGAAATAAAATATGGTCTAAACTAAAGTGTTAAATAATTGTATAAGAAAACATTCAATGCACATGTCTTCAGGCCTTTTAAGTTGTTGGCCCACCCACTCAAACTACGTTATGAACAACCCAATGATAATAGGCATGTATGTTTGGTGAAAGTTGCTGTTCAACACAAATGGCAATGTATGCTTTTAAACCGGTATTACACAAGGGGGAAAAGTAATCGTGACAGCAGTTCCCAAGTCATAACAAGTTCAAAGTAAAAATCAAACATCAAAGAGTTGAATAGAGTGCTTTATTCTTGACATATGTACAAAATATGAATGAAATTGACAAAGAGGTGTATAAGTAATATCATTATGTACATTTTCACATTAAAATTTCGCTCCTTTGATTAATTTCTCCAACAACGCTTTGGTTTCCTTTCTCTCCGCAATGTTACCCCCCTTTCTCTCCGCAATGTTACCCCACTTTCTCTCCGCAATGTTACCCCCCTTTCTGTCCGCAATGTTACCCCCCTTTCAGAATCGATGTTTGACACACACTTATTTCAGCATAGACGATTGGGTGTACATTGAAATCTGTAACACATTTCTTTCTACAATCCGACAAGGTCCAGTGTTCTGGAGATTACTGGTGTGGTGTGTGGACGGCTCGACTGTCATAGAACGTTACATCATGAACCCTATAACAGAGATGAAGTAAACATATAAAAAGACATCCTCGATACTCCAGGTGTTACGCTCACTTTCCCTCTCCATCCCTGGAATATGTCATAGCAAAATTGATGGCACACGGCTAGCTGTTTGATTGGTCTTGGGTAAAATAAATACCTGACCAATCCCTAAGGCTGATACCTGTCCTTTGAAGATTTAAGAGTAGAGACACCCGACGTCAAAGACAGTCAATGTTACCGCTACGCGACCGAAAGATTCTTTTGATGTACATCAAATGAGCAAACTAGTCTTCTCGTTCCAGCAACAAGATGCTGCATTCCGAGCCATCGATTTTGCTGGGGTGCAGAGAGCGTTAAAGAGCGTTACCCCTGGAGTATCAAGGATGATAAAAGGATAAACACCACAATATATAATTTTAAATCACACAATATAGACTTGTACAACACAATGACACGGTAAAATGTACAAAAACCTGATTTTTAATTTCATTACAAAAAATATCATTTAGTTTTAGATTTCGTTGAACAATTAGTCTTATTGTATTGAATCGTTTTCCAAATGTGCATTATGCTTTTTACAATATATGGCGGTATGTGTTGTCAGTAAATATTGACTGAAGCACTTAAAGGCCGTGCGTACATGCTCATAGTATGTCGGATAGGACTTCCTCCGAGCACGACACTCAAATCATATAAAGCACGTAGCGTTGTTTATTACTTATCGCATACTAGCATAATATCAAAGTTTTACGTTATACACAAACAATGCACGTATTAAACGTGCCGCAACGTTTAAAGACCAACTGGTCCCTTTGTCAAGTTATGACTGAGTGAGTGATTTGTGTTATTTATCTGTACACCGATGTGGCGAAATTGTATATTTCTCATATCACTCGACCCAGTTTGGTTTGGGTTTTGTTTTTGTTAACGTCCTATCAAAAACTGAGGTCATTTAAGGACAAGCCTCCATGTGTGTTGTGTATGCACGCATGTGGGAATGAGGGCTGGAGGGACAGTGTGCTGGTGTAATTGCCTCCTTGTGATAGCGCGGTGTCTGATGCCGACTGTATAGGGCTATCTCACTGAAATCACCCAGCACAGCATTCCGTCCGGTCACATTATACTGAAAATGGATGAACCTGTTGTTAACATTATCCTAAATGCTGAAGGTTTAGCGGGGAATACCAATTACCATTTTAAGGACTTTGGTATATCCCGGACTGGGGACGGAACCCATTGCCGTCCTCACCTGGGCGAATGCTCAACAATAAAGCCAAACGTGAGCTATTGTCAAGCAAGACGCTAGGAAATAAAAGGTAGTTAAATGTAGGAAGAAAGATAAAGATCCCAAATATTGCAATGGGTGCAATAAATTTATTTTGGTCGTTTTTTTGTCCCCAAATAGAGGGCACAAAAGCAAATCCCCAATTCTGAAGGGGGTCCCAACATAAGTCGCCTCTTACGATACATGCAGTTGGTAACAGCGGGTGTTTTCTTTACTCGATCCCTGACCTACAGGGATGCACTCGACCGGGACGTTTCGCCTATCGATAGAGAGCGTATTAACACTTTATCGAGTAGGTTATTTTCCCGTGCTTATCAGCATTATTGATTGTTAAATATTAATAAACTGCCGTGTCGTTTTGTGGTTTTGAATCCTAATGTCTGTCCAGGTATTATGTTTCTATGCCAATTTAAGGCAACAAACATGATGGTGAGGTCAATATATTACCAATGAAGAATGCTGTCCATTACAAGCAGGCAAGGCAAATCACTCTTTGTGATAAAATGTAATGAAATCTTTAGAGTTTGGAGATAAAACTCCCTACAGTGGTATACATCCTCAAATTCAGTTTGTGTGTAATGTTTGAAATTTAGAATCAGTGAAGTTTAAGAATTACTTTTGATTGTAATAAAGATCGTTTGAACTTGGTACTTACACATGCCTTTTCGGACGAGCTGGATTCTCCTCCATTTTTTGGTGGTATTCCGATGGAGAAGTCAGTTACATTTGTAGACATGTACTTCCTGAGTTCATACTTGTCTTTTATAAATGATTTCATTAGAGCTCTGTATATCTGTTAAGGAGTCTTTTGATGTTTCAACAACCACTTGGTTATAAATATTGAAACGGAATAGGTTCATATAATTCTATATTATGGTTGTGGTTGACGTCGCCATAGTATCATAATTTCTATACAACGCTATCCCTTTATATCCTGAATACACCAAACCTGTCTTTTCTCAACTTTTCTGGTAAAAGTAAATCACGGCAACACCGATCCTTTCAATAGTCAGATACCATACCAAACCCTGTCTATTCTCAACCTGTCTGAAAGCAAGTCACGGTAATACCGACCCTGTCGATAATCAACTACCATACCAAACCTGTCTGTTCTCAACCTTTCTGATGGTAAGTCACGGTAATACCGACCCTGTCGATAGTCAGCTACCATACCATACCGAACCCTATCTATTCTCAACCTGTCTGATAGTAAGTCACGGTAATACCGACCCTGTCGATAGTCAGCTACCATACCATACCGAACCCTATCTATTCTCACCCTGTCTGATAGTAAGTCACGGTAATTCAGACTCTGTCGATAGTCTCTCAACCTGTCTGAAAGCAAGTCACGGTAATACCGACACTGTCGATAATCAACTACCATACCAAACCTGTCTGTTCTCAACCTTTCTGATGGTAAGTCACGGTAATCCCGACCCTGTCGATAGTCAGCTACCATACCATACCGAACCCTATCTATTCTCACCCTGTCTGATAGTAAGTCACGGTAATTCAGACTCTGTCGATAGTCAGCTACCATACCAAACCCTGGAAGTAAAATATCATATTGACTATGTCAACACTTAACACTGACAATTGTCAACTATGTCGATTCCAACCACTGTTCCAACAGAAACATATCCAAGCCGCGGTTAGTTTACAGGATTAAAACAGAAACATTTCCACGCCGCGATTAGTTTACAGGATCATAACAGAAACATTTCCACACCGCGATTACTTTACAGGATCATAACAGAAACATATCCACGCCGCGATTAGTTTACAGGATCATAACGGAAACATTTCCACGCCGCGATTAGTTTACAGGATCGTAACAGAAACATATCCACACCGCGATTAGTTTACAGGATCACAACAGAAACATTTCCACACCGCGATTAGTTTACAGGATCATAACAGAAACATTTCCACACCGCGATTACTTTACAGGATCATAACAGAAACATATCCACGCCGCGATTAGTTTACAGGATCACAACAGAAACATTTCCACCCCGCGATTAGTTTACAGGATCATAACAGAAACATTTCCAAGCCGCGAAAAATAAAATGAGTAACCCGCTTACAGTAACCTCCTCCTCAGTCAAATAAGACAAATCCAATGGCCTAAGTTTGCTGATGTATGCACCCAAGACGCATCTATGCATTCCTGCACACTGAAAGCAAATGAATATGCCCAAGTTCCAAGATGCCCATTTTGGTTCTTCAAAGTAAAAGAAAAAAGGGCAAGATGATTGTTGCATTATAAATTTGATTTGGTATAACGAAGCAATATTTGGCAAAAGAAGCACCAAGATATATAAGAGAGAGAGAGAGAGAGAGAGAGAGAGAGAGAGAGAGAGAGAGAGAGAGAGAGCGTACTAAAACAGGGCATATTCTCAGAACTATTAAGTTTGCTACTAATACAAGTTTTCTATTGCCTTTGGTGAAACATAACAGAAAAGAGACAGAAGGAGAGATCAGTTTGTCAGAAGTAAATGGACAAAATGCGGTTTTATGACTTGGAACTGATGCTGTAATGGAGACACTGGTCTGTCGGTAATATTTGGACAGAATAAATATTTAGGACTGTTGAAATAGACTCTGTAACAGAGAGACCGGTCTGTCTGTAATAAATGGACAGAATAAGTTCTTAGGATTGTTGAAATCATCTCTGTAATGGAGAGACCGATCTGTCGGTTATAAATGGATGTAAGAAGTCTATGTATATGTAGGATGACAAAGTGTCAGTAAGCTCATTTTAGATAGCATATATAACTACGACTGTTGACAGTTTCAAATGCGAAAACTGATCACGATTTTTTATTTTTTTACCTTAATTTAAGACATATTTAGTATGGTGAGTTCGTATAATACTGTTGGCGTACGGGTAGGTTTGGTACTACCTTCTTCCATTCGATACGGTATCCATATACCACAGCTAACACTTACCTAGCTCACCGCAATCAGCACACTGGTTGTTACCGTCCACTTGCAGTAATTTTGCTATACGGACAGCAGCAAATTCCCTTTCTTTGGTAGCCTGATGAAAAATTGGTAAAAATGGTTAAGTGTATACGTATCGGTAGTATTGAAACAAATATTGCCCTAACAAATACATGTTAAGTTGAATTGCAATGTTTACTTAATCATCTAAGAGAGAATGAAATTAACACTATTATTTCAATAATCAATTGACTATATTTGAAACCTAAATTCAACAACAATAAAGGAAAACACTTAGCCTTGATTTGGGAAAACAATTAACGTAATTATATTGAGTCGATATCCAGATGTTCATTATGCTATATAAAATATGAAAAAACAATTATCCTAGCATGAACACATTGCTTGGTGTATAGAACTTTTTTGAAATCTTGATAAATATATAGCAGCGGGATTTTATTTTGAATCGTGTCGAGCGTCTATACCGAAGTGTTGTTTCTTTACTAACATATGATTGTGAGGTAACGTGTTATAAATGAAGATGAAATAATCTGTTAACAGTGATAGTGGATTAAACTATCACTGTCCAAATGTAATATCATCAATGAATATACATAACTATTACATCACGTTTTGAGCCTGACCTGTGGTATCCTTACAAATACCTTTCCGGACGAGCTGGTTTCTCCTCCATTCGTTGTTGGGGTTCTGATGGAATCATCTGCTACATTTGTAGACATGTACTTCCTAAGCTGGTATTTGTCTATTAAAAACGACTTCCGGTCAGCTCTGTATATTTGTTAAGGAGCTGTTTCTTGTTTCCACACCAACTTGGAAATTTTATAAATATTGATCAGGGGCTGTGATAATTGTCCAAAACTCCATGTTTAGATCGTGATTTTCAGAGTTATGGTTTGATATTTTCTACGAACTAGTACCCAATTTTACCGAACCGTAGTTGGCTATCTCTGACCTTTTTAAAAGTAAGTCACATATATTCCGACTCTTGGTGATAATTACTCCCATAACATGAGAGGCCGCTGGTCGGCATGTTTTTCAATTGGATATGATTTTGCCGACTGCGACCTCTCATTTCCGAAGCACTAATTCTTTGATGCAGTTTCCGCCCGAAATCCGGGCGGAACAAAATCGGCTTGAAAAACTCACATAAGTGGTTAACAGTTCATGACAACGATGTCTACTCACGGTTTATATAATATAGATCTCATATATATGTCACAGACACAAATATATAGTATATTACGGAATAGAACACTCAAAATACATGTCCATGTCGTTGTAGCACATCTCTGACCTACATTTAAAACATGGCTTCTGGATTAATACAAAATATCAGGGGGGATTTCAAACGGAACGAAATGATACGGAGTTTGTTTGTATTCCGCTTGTGAAACATTACATGTAATCCATTTTTGTATTAACCGGAAAAATCATGGCAAATGCTGTCTGCTTCGCTTCGAATGAGGAAAAACTCATTATTTATGTCTTTGACATGAAATTTTTCTCATATAATCATGGATTTATGGAAAGGAATATTTATTGGACCCTTTTGACCATTTAAATGTATGTAAACACGATATACTCTTTCTTAATCCGAACTTTGAAAATGTGATAGTCAGCATCGGGAAAATCAGCTATGGGCAGTTAGAGGTTACGCGGCGCCTGTCAAAAGTTTTTCGCCGTGTAAAACCTCTAACATTGTTGGAGTAGGTGATAATAAGCTATGGAAGTTCCAAACGCTGTAAATAGACATTATCAAAAGCGAACCATACCATACCCGGTCGATAGCCTACCACTCCAGTACAAAAGCTTACTGATAATAACTCATACATACACAACACCCTGTCGACAATATCAAACCCTGTTGATAAACAACCATGTCGATATCAACCATTCTTTATACCTACATAATACATCTCTATATTATCCGAGACTACGCTAGTCGCGGCGCACGAGACCAAACATACATATGGTCATCATTTTGGGTGGATACTCATTGTCTTGTGGTCGTTCAAAATCTTCAGGAAGATTAGCCTCATATACTGCGTTTGCTTTGATGTTTCCCATCTGCTCCATATTCTACAATACATTAAATATGTTTTTACAATACTTTTTTACTAATTACCATGTTCGATCATTTTACTAATATATCAATGTTCGTTCAATAGTAAGATTACACATTTACAATACAAATATTTCTTGAATGTCATAGTTGTATAATTCAAACCCCATAGTGTCGGTTATAGTAAACTCGAAGATCACACATAATTTAATAATACCAGCGGCACATATTTCAAGTTCTCAATTTTGCATATAAACGAACAGAAACTTTTTAACTTACGGCAACCTGTTCTTCGGTCCACGCGTCCAGATGCACGGATCTTATTTTGCTGATGTGTGTGCCCAAGTGGTTTCTGTGTAGCCCTGCGCATTGCAAGCAAATGAACACGCCCAGGTTCCAGGAGGCCCACTTTGGTGCTTTAAAGTTAAAATGATCGTGAGATAATCAACAAGTTGTCAGGGTAAAAAGGAATAAAACAAACGGAAAAGGTAACAAGTAACAGCTATAGTGGTGAATTCGAAAAATTCGAATAGGATAAATGTATAGGTCTGCTGAAATAGTGTCAGTGAGCCCATTGTTAATAGGATAAATGTATAGGTCTGCTGAAATAGTGTCAGTGAGCCCATTGTTAATAGGATAAATGTATAGGTCTGCTGAAATAGTGTCAGTGAGCCCATTGTTAATAGGATAAATGTATAGGTCTGCTGAAATAGTGTCAGTGAGCCCATTGTTAATAGGATAAATGTATAGGTCTGCTGAAATAGTGTCAGTGAGCCCATTGTTAATAGGATAAATGTATAGGTCTGCTGAAATAGTGTCAGTGAGCCCATTGTTAATAGGATAAATGTATAGGTCTGCTGAAATAGTGTCAGTGAGCCCATTGTTAATAGGATAAATGTATAGGTCTGCTGAAATAGTGTCAGTGAGCCCATTGTTAATAGGATAAATGTATAGGTCTGCTGAAATAGTGTCAGTGAGCCCATTGTTAATAGGATAAATGTATAGGTCTGCTGAAATAGTGTCAGTGAGCCCATTGTTAATAGGATAAATGTATAGGTCTGCTGAAATAGTGTCAGTGAGCCCATTGTTAATAGGATAAATGTATAGGTCTGCTGAAATAGTGTCAGTGAGCCCATTGTTAATAGGATAAATGTATAGGTCTGCTGAAATAGTGTCAGTGAGCCCATTGTTAATAGGATAAATGTATAGGTCTGCTGAAATAGTGTCAGTGAGCCCATTGTTAATAGGATAAATGTATAGGTCTGCTGAAATAGTGTAATTGAGCCCATTGTTAATAGGATAAATGTATAGGTCTGCTGAAATAGTGTCAGTGACCCCATTGTTAATAGGATAAATGCATAGGTCTGCTGAAATAGTGTCAGTGAGCCCATTGTTAATAGGATAAATGCATAGGTCTGCTGAAATAGTGTAATTGAGCCCATTGTTAATAGCATAAATGTATAGGTCTGCTGAACTAGTGTAATTGAGCCCATTGTTAATAGGATAATTCCACGACTGTTGGCACTGTTTGACGAGAAAACTTTTACTTCCATTAATTAATGTTTTATACAGAGTGTTGGTTTATGAATATTAACATACGGTACTTGTTTACATTCGATACCGTAAATAAAACAGTTAATTACCTCGCTCACCGCAATCAGCACAATGTTTGTTACCGTCCACCCGTTGTAAGCTGGCTAGACGGACAGCAACAGATTCCCTGTCTTCTCTCCTCTGGTCCTCCGTTTGTGCTGACATGCTTCCTTCCTCTGTATTGGGAAGCTGTATATGTGTAGTTTATGTTTATTTCCCCTCCTTTGAGAGCCGTGGATACATGTATATATATATATATATTAAGGTAATGCCCAAGTAAACACATACCATACTATACAGACATAGTTAAAAATAGTCCATTTAAATGGATTTTCCATGACGTCACGACTATTCTTTCGGCATATACGTAGGGTGATCGATGATCTATACAACTCCTCTGTCACCCTTTTCTATTCTTACACTCCACACTTTATCCCTTTAACTCATTTTCCTGTCTTTTTTTCGCCTGCTGGATAACCGAACTCCCCGGTAGTGACGCGGACGTAAAATCAGTCAATCAATGACCGATAGAATCAGGTCTGATATACGCCATAGAAAATGAGGTACCTAAATATAACAAAATGTAAAGGTAGGAATCGATATGCCATTTGCTTTTATGTTCTTCATTTTCATCAACTAATTAAGAGGATTATATTACACTTTCGTATTAAAAATATGATAAAATAAGTTAAATGGAGAGAGACACATAACGTTCCATGAAATCAATACGTTATATGTCCACCGTGTAATAAAGAAAGATATTAGCTCCTTATCACAACATGAACAGGATTCACTAATTATATTTATTTAAAACAACACAACAATATTTGTTTACTTGAACAAACTTAGACTTTCTAACAGGAAAGAGGGTAGTTCGCTTCCACCGGTATCGAACCCACGACCCCCAGTTTCCCCGTCCATCGCTCTACCGAAGGAGCTATATAGAGAAATTCACTCTAATACGAAGCAAGAAGGCGACCGTAGTCGTATGAACAATTAAAATTAACCACACTATACCCCTTTTCCCTTTTTTATTTTAAATGTGACCCCCCTCGAACACCACAACAGCCAATGTTCTAACTCCCTGTCACCACAGGGAGGTTCACGGACAGCATTTGCTTTGTATAATATCACTTATATAATATCTATATATGGATACATTGGATATCATTTGTATTACACTATTCACCTATAGTACTTGAAATTGTTCGGTCTGGGGTTTTGTCCACGACAGAAGTGCAGCTAGTGAGACATCGTTCTAAGTTTCAATGTTAAAACTTGTACCTGGCTAGTGAAGTAAGAAGGAAATCGACTTGGAAACAGTGTATAGAGTGATATATTTTTGTAAAATACTTACATCATAAGGGTCTTATTATGTTTTATGGATATACCTGTCCCCCTGCATTGTGCCTTTTTCCTATATATACAGTAACTCCAACCCTCTGCACCCCAACCCCCTTGATATCGTTTTGGGTATAACTGTAGCACAGCTGGACAAAGGCACCTCCGTTGACCAGGTACATTAGCTCAATCGGTTAGAGCGATGGTATAGCAATCTGAAGTCCAGGGTTCAATTCCCGGGCTAGCTCTGCTGATTTTCTTTTACATTCAAAACACTTTTGTTGATTATATTTTGTTTATTTTATCAAAAGTATTTTTCATAAAAGTCCCGCAAGGAATTAATTTCTTTTGCAGTGGTACGGGGATTCTAAAATATGAACAAGACTAATGAGGTATAGGTTTAATAATTATAATTCGTTAATAAAGCACCACTTAACATATACATGATCATATCTGTAAAATGCATACACCAAATTACTTTAAGATTATACTTTAAATATGTAAAGCGTTGCTGTATTAAGACAAAATAATCAAAGGTACATAGTGTTGTCTTATTGCAACGATGTTCTATGCAAACAATATTTACGTAATGTGGATTGGTGAAGCATTTCATTTGATTTCAACAAATTGTATTGACACATGTAATACTTAGTAGTCAAATAGATTGAATAACAAGTCTACATATTATCTTCTATCCATGAATGGCTCAAAATTTGATTTAATTTCATATACAATGTACTAAGAATATTGATAAATTAATTTAGGGATACATTGAAATAAAAAATAATATAAAGTAACACAATGTTATGAATCAGGGGAGATAACTCCAACATTATAAACACAATCGGGATGAACTCATAGGATCTCAGAATCATGTATCCAACACACGCACATTAATACTCTCATTAAATAAAGCTAACTCACAATCAGTAATTCATATGTACAATAAGAGTAGGCATTGATCAAAAGTGAAGCAGAACTCAGAAGCATTTGCGGCCTTTGTCTGCAATATACAAGAAATATACGATAGTGTTGCTATGTACAACCCCTTTGTTAAACTCACATCTGTAACCTCCGTATCATTTACACAGTAGTGACATTGTGTAGGTGAAATGAAAGCAAATAAATCAAACAATAAATAAATAAAATCAAAAATAAATAAAATAAAATATGGTAAATATGTAGCAATCATTTTAATAGCTATTACATTATTACATTGGAAGTAAATCAAAAAGAGAAAGTGGGAGAAATTTTTATGATGCAATACACCTTCTATTAAGATTTTCTTGTCAATTAAGTAATGGCAATTTATAGGTTAATGCTAGCTAGTTACATATATTAAATGCTAAGTTTGCAACTGTGGACGGAGATTGCTTATCTGTGTAACTGATATAACATGACCTGGTATACGCCCTTACAGGTGTTGACACATGCTTATCATCCTATTTAAAGAAAGGTGTATTTTGTCCACTGTCAGACGTGATCTGTTTGCCTACCATCAAAGTAAAATGTACAAACTGTTTTTGGTACAGGTGCTGGTAGTGTTCGCACTCTGGCATGTTTCCGAGTCCCGTGTGTATACACAGGACGAACTTGATTTATTAGCAAGAGTGCACTATGACCAGATTCCCCGACATTTGCAACTGATGCTGAGGAGAGGAAAGAAAATAGGCGACACCAGGTGAAGTATTAACACAGGTTAAATTGATGATCGATGAAGTTACACCTTATTGTTGAATGTGATCGTTTAGTAACACAGGTTTCCTAAAATAATGTTAAAAAATTGGCTGCTTATTGTCGGTGAGAAGACACATATATTCTATTTGTATAGTAGAATACTACACTTTGGTAAATATTAAAAAAACATACTTTTTATTATTAGAATAAGCGTTTCTATATAAAAGTAAAAATATCGTGTATTGACATTGCAGAACATTATCTTATAAAATCACCTCAGTAGTGAGATTAATAAATAAAAATTGCACTTCATACATTTTTATGAAAAAGGGTTTAATATATGTAAGCAGTGGTTTTATTATAAATATCGATATTAACACTATTGGAAATGATCGAAAAGTGAGATCTGTATCACAACGGTGAATGTATTTCGCTACCTGATTATGATTTGAACGGTTTCTGGTGTTAACTACGTTGTTATAACCAACACTCTGTTACAGTAACTGGTGTTGTAAGAATGGTGCAGACCAAGTGGTAAGCAATACCCAGATGTCAAAGATCGCGTCCAAGACAATCAGAGAGTCAGTCCAGACACACACACAGGACGGATGCGGATTCCTGAACACCAAGACGTGCGAGACTACAGATATCAAATATGTGTGAGTCGATCTACAATAATATATTTGATCCAGGATACGTATTCGTAAAACTTTTCTCATGTCCGAATCTAGATCTGTACTCAAGCTCAATTTCTAGTTCCGGTAATGAATGTTTGAAAGAACAGATGTCTAGACTTTTCGACATACTCAAATTATTTAAGCTAATTAAAAGAAGCTGATTTGGGCACAAAATCCATGCTTTAGCATGAGAACGGTTTCATAAATACGGACCCAGGCCTTGTAGACTATAAGTTTATCTAAAAATAATCTGCCATATTATCTTCTAGCATTATGAAATATGTGAAAATATTAACGTTTATTGTTTCTCTTTGATCTTATTTATCCTCCTCCCATTCAGGATTTTTTCCCGAAATTGATTTGTCTATTTAATTTGGAGCTAACAAGATGAGCATGAAACGCAAGAAGAAAGTGTAGCAGCATATCAAGTCGATGGCTGACTCGAATAAGTTATATATAGTATCCAGAAGATGTTTATAGTGTGTAAATCACATGTTGATTTTGTTCTAACCATTACATCACCAGCTATATTATTACATTGTTTATTGTTAATACAGTGAGAAACTGATTACCTACATCGATTACCAGCTCGTCCCTAACAAGAGCGTCTGTCCAGACGAACAGATCACGTGCTGTAGCGGGTTCGTGCTCGCCGTTGATAATTGTTTGGGTAAGTATATCATCGATAATCATATGCATGAAGCTACTTTTGCGTTATCGAAATATTAAGTCATAACATGAATAACTATGCTATCAGGTTAAAAATTATAACACAAACTTCTATGTTATGGAGTTGAAAATTATAACACAAACTACTGAGTTATCAGTTTTAAAATTCCTAACACGAATTACTGGGTTATCAAGTTAAACATTATAACACAAATTACTGAGTTTTCATGTTAAACATTATTACACGAATACTTGTGTTATCAGGTTAACAATTATAACACAAATTACTAAATTATCAGGTTAAACATTATAACACAAATTATGAATAATCAGGTTAAAAACATATCCCGAATAACTAGGTTATCAGGTTAAACATCATAATACATTTTTTTTAGGTTTAAAAATATAACACAATTAATGTGATAACGCGCTATCAAATTATTAACACATATTCCTAAGTTATCAGGTATTTAAGTTATACGATTATAAAGTTGTCGTATAGTTAAAGATATAGCATATTTTTGAAGGTTAAACATGTTTTACGATGTACATGTTGTGTACTTGAGATGGAATCAATCGTGAGATGTTATGTAAAGGAATACATTTAACAACGTATCTACATAATAAAATGCAAAATTATGTAAATATATGTGATTATATTTATTTGAAAGCCATGATTTAATTGCCATTTAATCATATAAGATATATTTTGATTTGTATGATTGTAATACCTGTTAATTATATATATTTAGTCCGCTGAGATTCAATGATTTGATTTAAACATATTTTATTGCAGAATTTGCAAATGGATTAGGTACAAGTTATTCCAACTTATGAAGCCTTCTCCCAGAAATATTTTATTCAATGTACATGGCAACATCAATAGATTTTACACAAATCGATAATGAAAATAACAAAGGAGAGAGAGAGAGAGAGAGAGAGAGAGAGAGGAAGAGAGAGAGAGAGAGAGAGAGAGAGAGAGAGAGGAAGAGAGAGAGAGAGAGAGAGAGAGAGAGAGAATTTATAACCTACCACTGTCTTTAATAAACTTCTGTACTGATTTTAATACATGGATGTTTTCCCCAAGAGACAAATTTGAAATGCCATTTAATAATAAGTCTAAGTTTATAATACCATATACATATAATGTAAGTAATAACAATCGCCTTTCTCTTTCATGTAGATTACACTCGAAAAAATAATGAAATTAATTTTCATGTTGACTTCCACACGTACAAGACGGACTTTCTATAATGTTTACCTTATACAGATCATATCTTAAAGAACTACAGACATGTCTTAATCTTGTATGTAAAATATTTAGTTTTCTGTTTCCGTATTCAAAGTAGACTGGCAGCATGTTCATATTATTTCTATCAATTATGGATGACTTAAAACTATTAATTGTTGGTTTGTCACGTATTCAATGATATATTATACGTTTCTCCACAGCGGCGGAAGGCCAATATCTCAGCACCTTGACCGATGCCCTGATCAAGTTACAAGGTGCCGGACTTCTAGGGTAAACGTAGTTGTCAGCTGAAATAAACCGAGACTCAAACATACTGATTTTTTTTTTTATTTCTTAATAGATTAATCAATTTTACTTTGATCATTGCAATTATACTGTGCCCTGATCAAGTTACATAATGCCGGACCTCTAGTTGGATAACACCATCTTGTCAATTGAAATAAAAGGAGAACTTATAATTGTTGTTTCTTTTGGTACTAATCATTATACCTGCAGAGTACTTAATTAAACAAAAATGTTAACATTCCTCTAAAATTATATTCACAATTAGAACGAGTATACTATCCCACTTTGATTTGATTTTTTTTTTAAATGGAATTCATTAAATTTAATAATTGTATATCTTCTTAGTACATAGTTGTTGGAGAAAATATGATCAATATGTAATTGTTTTGATATTCACTTGCCATTCTCAATAGGCATTCTCTTTAAGCGGAGTTTTCATGTTTTTTCATGGCATTTGCAAATGGGCAATGGATAACCTCAATAATGAAGTTAAAATGAAGAAATTCATTTATTGCAAAAATGTTAATTGCAAAAAACAAGAGATACACAATAATACATACATCCCTTTACCCTTGTGCACTCGTTATTAGGCAATTACTAAAAGAATTTCCAGCAGTAATTTTTACCCTATGAAAAGAAAGGCTACCAACTTTGATGCTTCAGTGCACCTAAGCCGATAAGCTTGATTTCTTTGTCGAAATAAAGTATTGGATAGGTCATAATGAAAAGGCGGTTCTTTTTTATAACATCGACCACTCTCGACATAGAAAAATTGAGGAAGTGAAGTTGAAAAAATGTAAACTACAGTATTTTATTCAGATGAATATAGAAAATGCAGTGAGTGGTGTTTTCATTTTTGAAACATCTTTATGTATACATAAACCGGGCTCTCTAGATAGACTTGTTCTATTGTATGTATACATAAATCAGGCTCTCTAGATAGACTTATTCTATTGTATGTATACATAAACCGGGCTCTCTAGATAGACTTGGTCTATTGTATGCATACATAAATCGGGCTCTCTAGATAGACTTGTTCTATTGTATGTATACATAGACTTGGTCTATTGTTTGTATACATAAATCGGGCGCTCTAGATAGACTTGATCTATTGTATGTATAAAGAAACCGGGCTCTCTAGATATACTTGGTCTATTGTATGTTACATATATCGTGCTCTCTAGATAGACTTGATCTATTGTATGTATATATATACCGGGCTCTGTAGATAGACTTGTTCTTTTGTATGTATAAAGAAAACGGGCTCTCTAGATAGCCTTGTTCTATTGTATGTAGACATAAATCAGGCTCTCTAAATAGGCTTATTCTATTGTATGTATATATATACCGGGCTCTGTAGATAGACTTGTTCTATAGTATGTATACATATATCGGGCTTTCTAGATAGAATTGTTCTATTGTATGTATATATATATCGGGCTCTCTAGACAGACTTGTTCTATTGTGTGTATACATAAACCGGGCGCTCTAGATAGACTTGATCTATTGTATGTATATATATACCGGGCTCTGTAGATAGACTTGTTCTATAGTATGTATACATATATCGTGCTCTCTAGATATACTTGGTCTATTGTATGTATATATATACCGGGCTCTGTAGATAGACTTGTTCTTTTGTATGTATAAAGAAAACGGGCTCTCTAGATATACTTGGTCTATTGTATGTTACATATATCGGGCTTTCTAGATAGAATTGTTCAATTGTATGTATACATAGACTTGGTCTATTGTATGTATAAATAAACCGGGCTCTCTAGAAAGACTTGTTCTATTTTATGTATAAAGAAACCGGGATCTCTAGATAGACTTGATCTATTGTATGTATATATATACCGGGCTCTGTAGATAGACTTGTTCTCTTGTATGTATACATATATCGGGCTCTCTAGATAGACTTGTTCTATTGTATGTATACATATATCGGGCTCTCTAGATAGACTTGTTCAATTGTATGTATACATAAATCGTGCTCTCTAGATAGACTTGTTCTATAGTATGTATACATATATCGGGCTCTCTAGATAGACTTATTCTATTGTATGTATAGATAAACCGGGCTCTCTAGATAGACTTGTTCAAATGTATGTATACATATATCGTGCTCTCTAGATAGACTTGTTCTATAGTATGTATACATATATCGGTCTCTCTAGATAGACTTATTCTATTGTATGTATACATAAACCGGGCTCTCTAGATAGACTTGGTCTAATGTATGTATATGTAATAGAACGATGAATAGTGATAAAGATAGTGCCGTAGCTGGGGCTCGAACTCGCGACCCTTGGCTCTCCAGCCCGATGCTCTACCGATGAGCTAAAGGGAAATTCCCTACAGCTGACGCTTGTAAGGCAACCTAATTAATCCACATCTTTTAAAGTTATATCAATTAGATAAAATGCTTTATGCAACAATCATTACAGAAAGCAGGTCACTGCTGCAAAATTCAATATAATCGGATTTTCTTTAAAAAAAAATCCACATTTGATAACCCAATTATAGCCTAGTTTATTTGATGCATCTGTGTCGTGTTTTTCTCTAACAGTCTTGTTTNGAGGAAATAAAGAGAATAATAATAACCCAATTATAGCCTAGTTTATTTGATGCATCTGTGTCGTGTGTTTCTCTAACAGTCTTGTTTCGGTACATCACATTGACAAGTATAAGCACTAAAATCAGGAGTTTGAACAATTAAATGCATATACGCGGGCGGCGGAGTAGATAATGTTATGACACAATTCAGTTATAAATATGTATGCTAAAGAGCCAACCAACAGGCGAAAAACTACATGACAGCTTTTGTACGTACGATCTGAAAGTGAATCAAAATGATTGTGCAATGTTAGTATACTTTTAATTCTGTCGTATTGTACTTATCAGTCTTATGATGTTCCCTGATGAACTAAAATTGCATCTTCTATTGCAAATGGTTTAAATGACATTTGAAAAAATGAAAAATACAGAGGGCGAAAGTGTATCGCCTTGTGGTATATACATTCCAATAACTAAATTTATTATTTTAACGTTTTTGTGTGTCAATGTGATGAGGTATTGTCATGTTTCCATCTGTCAACAAGAAAGTCCATCTTCTGTGTAAAGGAGAAACGCCTCGAGCTGTTCATTCATTCATTTTCAAATCTGAGAACGATTTAGCGAAAATAATTTATTAAGACATTATTGGTGTAATTGTGAAGAACATATATTGAGTTTATATATCCTGAGACAACTGGTATGGGGACTTATTGTTTTTATTCCGGTTCTGATAATTATTTCTTTCTTCTTCTTCCGCTTTCGGCCGTTAAGGTTTCCGACACTTTTCTCAGAAACTGTAAGTCGGATTTTCACCAAACTTTGAGGGATTATTACCAAATAGCCTCTAGATGTGCAAACCCTTTTTTGTTTTTCCGAATACCTTAAAAGATGGCCGCCATGAATTTTTAAAATTTTTGGGAATTTAAAATTTCTAAAGGTGTTCGCTAAAGATAGCCAATGTCACCTATCCTATTTTACATGTTTTATAGATATTTTCTAATGCATTCCAAATTTGGCGTGTAGGTGTATGATGGTACCGCGAACTCAACCATGACATCCGTTTTCTAATTAGACGAAATGGCTGCCATATACTGATTACTGATTGGTCGAAACTCCGTTATTGTTCAATTTCGTTCAAATTTAGTATGTATGTGTAATATGACATTGCAAACTCAACTGCGACATTTGTTTTCTAATTTGACAAAATGGCCACCATATACTGTGTTCTGATTGGTCGAAATTTAGATATTGTTCGATGTTTGTGAAAAATGGTTTACAGGGGTATTAGGGGATTGCGAATTCAATCGCATAGGACACGTTGCCATATCAACCACACGGAGGATTCTGATTGGTCGAAATTTAGATAGTGTTCGATTTCGATGACAATCAATATATAGAGGTATTAAAGGACTGCAAATTCAATCGCATACCTTCGTTGCAATAGCAACCACACAGAGGTCCTAATTAGTCGCAATTTAGAAATTGTTCGATTTAACTCAAATTTAGTCTGTAGGTGTATAAAGGCATTAATTGCGATAATTTTCTGATGCATCTTTGCGTCTATGGGGTAGATATTGTTCGATTTTGATAAAAACTGGTATAAAGGAGTATTAGGGGACTGCGAATTTAACCGCATAAGTTTCGTTACCACAGCAACCTCATAGCAACCTTACGGACGCTTCTGATTGGTAGAAATTTAGTTATTGTTTGATTTTTATGAAAATTAGTATATAGGCGTATTAGGGGACTGCAACTTAAACTGCATAGGTTTCGTTGCCATAGTAACTATATAGCAACCACACGGAGACTTCTGATTGGTCGAAATTTATATATTGTTTGATTTTTATGAAAATTGGTATATAGGGGTATTAGGGGACTGCAACTTAAACCGCATAGGTTTCGTTGCCATAGTAACTATATACCAACCACACGGAGACTTCTGATTGGTCGAAATTTATATATTGTTTGATTTTTATAAAAATTGGTATAAAGGGGTATTAGGAGACTGCAAATCCAACTGCATAGGTTTCGTTGCCATACCAACAACATGGAGGATTCGTATTGATCGAAATTCAGATATTGTTCGATTTCACTCGAATTTAGTATGAAGGTGTTTTATGCCATTGTGATCCTTTTCTGATGTATCTTTGCGACAATGGAGGCAGCAGTTTGGGGGACTTTGGTCTGGAACACCTACTGTACCTCTGTAGTGGTTTATAAACAATTTTCCTTTTGTTTCGATGTCTCCTCAGTACTGATTTTTTCATTTTCGTGTCTCTGTCTCCTAAGATCTGATTACTTTGGTGTCTCTTCCGGTCTAGTCAGTTTGTTATAGCGTCTCTGAGTTATGACTGTTTTGTTCTAGTGCCTCATCTCTTCTTGTTGTTTTGTTTCTGTGTCTCCTCTATTCTGTCCCTGTTTGTAAACAATGTTGGAATTATTAATCTAATTGTCTTAATATGGAAGGGTTTC